AGACTACTTGGAACGAACGAGTATCGCTTCCGGCTAAAGAAGGACATGCAGCGCATCTTGCAGTCAGACACTGGAGCGCAGATGCCGATATGCCAGCCCACGCACCTCGAGCCTCCCGATGCGGCAGACATACCCTTCATTAATTTGAAGTCGCCCGTGGTCCTCCATATCCTCGACCGCAAACTAGGCAAGTCGGGCACGTCCCTCGGTCTGAGCCGCGTGCTCCCCAAGGTTTTCCTGTCTGCGATGAGCGGGGAGATGCAAGGGAACGCTTTGTCGACGCACTTCTTCCTACGAATATGTCGGAAAGTCAGCGGCGTTGATCTGCGCGCGTTTGCCGAGCAATGGATCTTCGGAAGCGGCTGCCCGTCTTTTGCATTCCAGGCGACGTTCAATCGAAAGAAGATGGCGGTCGAGATCACGATGCGGCAGGAGTGTCCGGCGTGGAAGGCGCATGAGGGTAATGCGTACACGATGGAGATGTTCAAGCCTGCGCCACTGTTTGAGGTGTGTCCCGTCTTCCCTTTATTCATGTGCTCGCGTGCTCACACGCGACAAAGGGTCAAATGACTATCCGTATTCACGAAGCGGATGGCACGCCCTATGAGCATGTTCTTGACATCCGGTCCGGCTTCAAGCGCTATGACGTGCCGTTCAACACCAAGTATAAGCGTGTACGGCGTAATACGAAGCGTTATCTCGCTCGCCAGGCGGCTGCGCAAGCCGCGGCGGAGGGTGACGCGGACGCGGCTGAGGCCATAGGCCTGATCGACATGGGCTTCGGGCTGGATATCTGGGAGAAGGAGGAAGAGCGCGAGAACTGGAAGGTCGCGGACTGGACGGAGGACGAAGAGGCGCAGATGAGCGGTGCCACCTATGAATGGATTCGGATGGACGCCGACTTCGAGTGGATTGCGTTCATCTCCTTTGACCAGCCCGACTTTATGTGGGTTAGTCAGTTGCAGAGGGATAGGGATGTCGTTGCGCAGCTTGAGGTCAGTCGATCTTATACTCTTTACTGTACGCGATGCTGAAATATCATGATCAGGCCATACATTCGCTGTCGCGGCAGCCAACGGCTATCGTCTCGAGTACCTTCGCACGAACGGTATTGGTAACGAACTATTATTATCGTATTCGCTGTGAGGCCGCCCTCGCCCTCGTGAACGTACGTGCGATTATGAAGTTGCCCTTCACTTCATTGACGCATTTTGCAGTGCGCTGTGCGGCGTATCGAGTTTCTGGGGCTCTTCCATCTTTTCAAGCTGTTCCTCCGCTACTGCTACGAAACGGAGGACCCTAAGCAAGACCTGTTCAAGCACACCTACGTCCCGAAGCCGAACGACTTCTCGGATATCGCGGAGTACTTTGTGCGCAAGCACCTAGTGACTGCTATTGCCCGGGTACGGTTTGAAAACGGGAAGACGCCACCTGTGGTCCGTCAATTCCTCATCGACCAGCTGCGGTTCAACGACAACACGACGAACATGGTTAGTATCACGACACGTGTGCTTACATGTGACTGAATGACCGTGCAGTATTCCGACGCATTCTACGTCAGCGCTATCATTGATGGTCTGGGATGTGCGACGACATCTACCGCTGCGCCCGAACGCGGCGAGCTTCTTCCTACAGAAGGCCGCGCTGAGCTAACAGCTGAAGACGTGGATCTCCTACAACAGGCCATTGACGAGGTCGAACGGTACAGGAACATGGATCGCCTAATTCCTTCCCCGCACAACGTTGTTACTGTCGCGGTACTGGAGTTCTACACAGTTCTGATGGTGGCGAACTACATCCCTAATCACCCGAAGTGGTTCTTCCCTATGACCCGGTATGTGTTCCTTCGCGTCCAGTCACTTTTCAATCGGCTCAATCGGAATATAGCGATGGGAACTACACCCAAGTACGCATCGCAGCATTCGACGGGTTGTTCATGACCAAATGGTTCACGCCGGGCATTATGCGTTACGTCCTCTCCGTTATCATCAACGATCCTTCCCGAGTCGTCAGGCGACACGTTGCGCGTAATTGCTGCCAGAGCCTTGGTCTGCTGGTCCAAATGGGAGAGCTGAAGTCGGGCGTAAAGGAGGCAGAGTCACTCCTCATAGAGGAGGACGGTTCGGTCCCGGAGAGGATCAAGGAAGCGAGGAAGACCGAGATGGATATGATGTTCAAGGTTCTGAGAAAGGATCGAGAGGTCGGCAAGAACGAAGTCTTGCGGGAATGGTTGGCGCCTCTCATGCTGTAGGTGCCCCATGCCATACCATTTTCCTGCCCTAACATTTTACTTGCTTAGATCTGCGGATGTGGACTACGAAGTCCGGTGGAACCTTCTTAAGCTGGCCGACCTGCTGATCAAGCCGCAAGAGGAGAAATTGCCGATGCCCAAGATACATATCCCTCCTACTCCCGTCGCCGAGACGCCTCCACCACTACCGATCAAAGTCAAGCCTCCGCGACCTCCCGGTCGACCCGAGAGTCCTACAGTTGTCACCACGCCAAAACTACGAGTCGCCCCTCCCATTCCTCCCTCTCCGCGTGTTGCGCCCGAGCAACCTAAGCGCCATGTACAGATGGCGCCTCCCGCTCGGCGCGCTCCTCCGCCTCCTGTACCCGCCGCGAAAGCGTCGAAGCCTAAGCAGAAGCCTGCTCCGCCTCCGCAAACGGGTCGCCCGCCGAAGTCCAGTTCGCGGCCAGCGCCGAAGGCGCAGTCGGTGGGATGAGCACGAACGACTTGATCATGTGTCGCAACGCGCTGAAGAAGCTGCAAGCCCATAAGCGTGCCAAATTGTTCTTGAAGCCGGTCGATCCTGTTCGGGACCACGCGCCGAGGTACGCATTGGCTCTATTTAGTGAAAGAGGAAAATTGACGGGTCTTCAGTTATTTCGACGTGATCAAGAAGCCCATGGATCTCGCCACCATGGACATCAAATTGAACCAGGGCTTTACCAGGACAGAAATGCCTCCGGAAAGACTTCGAGCTCATGATCAACAACGCGAAGACCTACAACCCTCCTGGGACATTCGCGCATCTGGAAGCCATCAACTTGGAGACCTTCTTTGAGAAACGTGAGCCTCTGGTTTTCTCGTAGACCTGCATGACTTACTGACGCCATTCATAGAATGGGCGACTTGAGCAGGACGCTAGAAGCTAGGGTTCATGATCCTCCTCCTCCTCCTCCCGCTCCACGTCCTGTGGTCATGTCTTCCGGCCTATACCCAATAAGACGGCGTCTGCCGCCGCGCCGGATATCTGCACCCAATCAACTTGCGCCGCCGCCTGCCCCTTCGCCTTCTCCGCCTCAATCTGAACAACCGAAGCCGCGTCCGACCATCAAGTTGAAGCTCGGAGGCCTAGCAAGCCCTCGGCCGAACCTCCACAGAAGAAGTCGAAGCCGTCGAAGGCGAAGTCAAAGGCGACTCCGTCTGACGTACCTACGGATCCTCCACCGCCGTACGAAGACGATGGACAGGCGACCTACTCGAGGAGGTGCTCGCCGTTGAGCATGAGCGGGAGCAGCAACGAGAGCACCAGAGGAGCAGAAGCGGAACAGCCACGATCGGTGTCGAAGGGCAAGCGGAAGATTGCATCTGCGGTACTGGACGAGGACGAATATTGAACCTAGCCTCGCCAGCGAAGAAGGAACGGCGGGCGCCTTCTCCCACGCCTGCGCCTACACCAACACCGGCACCAGCACCGCCGGCCGACTATCAAGATCAAGCGCGACAAGCCTCCGCCCTTCACCTACGCCTCGCACTATCGCCCCGCCTCGCCAGGTGGCTCCTGGGCCTGCGCCAGCCACGCCAGCTCGTCCCCCTCCTCCACCTGCTGCCCTGCCGTGTCGTCTGTCAAAGGCAAGAGCGGCAGATTTCCACCCATCCTCCCTCACATCCACCTTCGCGTGCGCCGTCGCGAGCAACTTCACATGTTGCGGGTCCGGGTCCGTCAACACCTAGTGCACCACGCGCAACGGTTTACGCTGCTACGCCGATCAACGAGAGGAAGTGCCGTGAACTGTTGAAGACGCTGGCGAAGTCAGAGTTCTACCCCATCTTCGCGCAACCGGTGGATCCTATACGGGATGGATGTCCGACGTATGTTGTCTGACCTTGATGATCGGACTAGTACTGACATTCTTTGCAGGTACTTCGACGAGATCAAGCATCCCATGGACTTCTCGACTATGGGCAAGAAGCTGACGGAGGGGCAGTATCAGACCATGGAGGACTTCCGGAAGGACGTGGAACTCATCTTCAAGAACTGCCGACGTTCAACCGCCAACGACGTACCCACAGCAGTGCGCGGACAACGTCGAGGCGCTGTTCAAGAAGGAGTGGGCGAAGGCGATGGAAAAGAAGTTGTCGTACACAGAGAAGCGCGGGCTGCAGGCAGTAGTCCGCGAGTTGAAGGCACACCCTCGTGCGTTAGCCATCTCGCATTGCCATTTTCTAACCGTGTGTATACCCACAGCTACTTTATCTTCTCCGAGCCTGTGAATCCGGACCTGCTCGGCATCCCGACGTACTTCAACATCATCCCGCGAGAAGGCGCGCGACCTGCGCACGATCCAGAACAAGCTCGACACAGACAAGTACGAGTCGGTGCAGGCGTTTGAGGCGGACCTGGAGCTTATGGTTCAAAACGCGTTGACGTTCAATGGAGATGTGTCCGAGGTGGGACAGGCCACGCTGAGGATGCGCGATGGGATCCGGGCGGCGATGGCGAGCTTTAGGTCGAAGAAGAGGAAGGATGGAGGGGAGAAGGGTGGTGGGCAGCCGGCGAAGAAGTTGAAGATGGGCTAAGAAGTGTATTATAGCAGTCAATTATACGTACGTCAGTAGCTAATCGGGCCTGGTCAGTAGTGGTCGGTTGATAGATCGAAGTGTCTTCTCAGTCTGGACGAGCGGCTTGCGTGTAAGGTAGATGTCACTAGTATGTTTGTGGCGCTTGCAAATGTGACTGCCTGATATCAGCACTAATTGACTTACGACCTATGGCCGCCTGGCGTAATGGCAACGCGTCTGACTACGATATTACGTGATCAGGAGATTGCAGGTTCGACCCCTGCGGTGGTCATGTTGCCATCCAAGATGCGTTTTGGGTCAAAATTTTTGACCGCCTATCCAATGCCCAAGCAATATTCTCAAGCTCATCGAGCAACAAATATGTACCAGTCTTACCAGTGTTGAGCTCTGAACAGGTTTTGTACACACGAACACAGAAGAAGGCAGTAAACTCAACTCTGAATCACGCATCCGGTCCGAGGTCCCACTCTTTGTCTCCGACGATCACTCGGTTTTCCATGTCGTCCGCTTTGCTGCAACGGGCGCGCGCCACCAGCTTTGCGCGTCGCACAGGCATCGGTGCGGAACTACGCGCGCGCTGAACCAGCGACGGCCGACAGCAAAGACTTGATCCGGCGCGCACTCTACCCAAGCACCATCCGCAACAAGCCCACGCCCACAGGCACCTACCGCCCCGACGTCGCTCGCGCGCTCCTCCGCGCCGTTCCGCACACCCACGCCCACGAGGTCATTGAGCGTGCGTGGTTGCTGCACAAGCGCCACGTCCGCAAGGCGCGCGACGCCGAGCTCGCGCGCAAGTTCCGCTGCATGAAGGAGGCGATGGACGAGCTGGAGCGCCTGGCGCCGCACTTGCACCTGGAGGCGAACAAGCGCGAGGACCCGCGCCAGCGGAGCAAGGCCGAGATGGAGCGCGGGAAGGCGCTGTCGACGCCGCAGGCGCGCGCGTTGGACGCACGGATACGCGGGTTATTCCCGCGCGAGCTGAAGGTCCCAACGGAGACGCCGTCGAGGGCGGGCTGGAACTACAACTACGAGCCCTTCGAGCGTCCGATATAGAGGTGCGTTTGGCATCCGCTCGTACTTGTCTAGAGCTGACCCGGACAGCAGGGGTAGGTGGATGCGACGGTGCACGATCGAGATACATTTACAGAGCAAGAGACTGGATAGCTACGCTACAATTACATCCACTGGCGCTCTTCTCGCATGGAGAACGGGTCCCCACTCATCATCATCTGCGCGCCCTCGTTCTGCCGTGCGGACGTCTTGCCCACCACTGCGCCGTGGACGGACTCGAGCGTCTCCGTCCACTTCTGCAGCGCGGCGTACCGCTTCTTCTCCAGGCTTTGTCTGGTGAGATGTCATAAGCGCCCATAATGTTGCAAAGGGGGGAACGACGCACTTCTTGTCCAACTCCAGACGCATGCCGACCTGGTCGATGCGCCCATCGACCTTGCCTTCAAGAATCAACCCTATCAGCAGCTCCTCGACCTCCTCGACATCCACGTTCAGTTGCTGCGAGTGCCCTCAGTTGGTTCACTCGCTGAGAATTTGTGAGAACCTACCTTCGCCAAGAAAGCAAGCTCCAGCCGCGTATACGGCTTGATGAGGTCAATCAAGTACTGCGTCCGTAGACTTCGCAGCAGTTCGCCGATGTATTGCTTGATGAAGTTGTCACCCATAATTGTTGCTTGGTTGTCTGCGTGGCATCAGTGGCAGGTCGTTCCACACATGCCCTTGGCTTAGCCCGCACCTCGCAAGATCTTTTCCGCTGAGTGCACCTCTCGCCTTTGGTACGCGTCCACCAGGTCCGTCATCGCCTTGATCTCGGGGTCGTTCTTATATCTGTCCAGACGTCAGAAATCACAACAGAAATTGAGAAGTGCAAGCATTCAGTTACTCACGGCTTCGTCTCCTGACTGTCAAACGGGTTCACCTCAGCACCCGTCAGCATGTTCGCCAACACCAGATACTTGAGAACCTGGATTCGCTGCAGCGACCCCGCCTCGTCGTAATTGCGGAACGAGTCGAAGAAGTCCGAGTAGGCCTTGCTCCACTGGCGCTCGCCCATCCACATCTTGCCTCCGCACTCCTTGATGACGCCCATGATGCGCGGGTGCGGAATGGCGGAGCGCACGGCGTTGGTGGCGTTGTAGATCTCCTTCAGCTTTTTGAAGTTGCGGGTTTCGTTGTACATTTGGATCTCGAGGGCGTAGATCTCGAGGAGCTGGGTGCCGCGCTGGGACTGGTCGTCCTCGCCGCCTTGTGAGGCGGTGTGGAGGTCGCGGATGAGCTGAAGAGGCGGCACGTATAGTGTAATTGCATGGGAAGGAAGGGAGCGAAGGTGGCGCGAAAAGGTGGCAGTTAGCGAGCTGCACAACATGCCGATGCGGAACGAGGACGCACCTTGGACAGACGGCCATACTCCTTCTTATCAAGCCACAGCTTCGCCAGCTTGAGGTTCGTCTTCACCGAAAGACGCTGAAGAAACGTATCAGCCAGAGCTCATCCCGATCACGGTGCAGCACACGCACCTCATTCTTCGCCTCAATCAGCGCGTCCTTCGTCACATTGTAGAACTTCTCCAGAATGTCGACTTCGACTGGGCCGCCCTTCCCACCGCCCACATAGTCCAGGATGCCGTTGATCGTCTTCTCCGAGTAGTTGCGTGTCACCGCGCTCTTCGTGTACTTTAGCAGCCGGGAGTACGTCTTCAGCGCCTCTTCCGGCCGGTGCAGCACGAGGAACAGAAGCTTGGTAGACTGCTTGAGCGCCTTGAAGCCCCTGCGTGGGAGGGCCGGGTGCGCGTTAGCTCGAGCCCATTCATGCCAGGAGTACGACAAACGCACCAATCGCCCATCTCATCCTCCTGATCGACGATGGCTTTGAACTCTCGGAGGGCCTCCTCGGGGTCATCTTCCTTCTTTGCTGGTGGGGCGCGGGATTAGGGCAAGGCTTCGTGAACGATCAGCGAGTACGCACCCTTGGCTTTGTAGTACATGTTCTCGACGTCGGCGGCACCGGCATCGTTGTCTTCGTCGCCATCAGAGTAGTCAAAGCCGTAGTCCTATTGAGTTCAAGTATATGAGTTACTTGTTCGAGGGAATGGGATAGACTGGCATGTCGGGCGCCTAACAGACACGCACCTCGTCGTCGGACCCTTGCATGTAATCGGCGTCATCGTCATCCATGGTGGCTGAAGTTGCTGGGGATGGAGAGACGGTTACTTTGGGCGTACGCCAAGACGCGTCGCAAGCCGGGATAGAGGTGGGAGGGAGGCAGACCAGGAGCAGACGCCCACGCCACCAACGCGGCACCACGGTACGCTCGGATAAAGCCGAGAAGTCGAACATGATCATTGACTGCAAACTGGAACTCATCTACTAGAGAAGCGCCGTCTTCGCCGGCAGACACCTTGCTTGCGACGCACACTCAACTTTTCCCAGACTCCCATTTGTGTAAGCCCGATGCTGACGATGCTGATATTGATTGTTACGGCCTCCTGTCCAGTGTCAGTCGGGTCTTCTGCATAAACTTGGCTGCTTCGATTGATTACTGATCTCTAGATTCTCTACCTATATCTACGGCTACATGGCAATGCGAGGCTACTAAGACCATGTCATTGTCCAGTCCACAGTGTATACTCATATCGATCCTGTCACGCGTCGTGCTCGCACTTCGTCGCGTCTCGCGCCCCGTCTCCCGCATCTTCCGGCGCTCTTGGTCGCCCCTTCGACGGTTGTCCACATCAATACTTATCACGGTCAAACTGCTAGCATCGGGGGCGAACTGTCACAAAACAGAAGTCATCGGTGCAGAGATAGTCGCGTCAGCGCTCGTGTCCTCAGCGTCGCTCGGCGACGATGACGGCGGCGGACGACGGCGCCGCGCCGGAGGTCGCATGCGGCAGCAGAAGTCTCTGCAGCTGATAATTCAGCGGCGGACGAGGCGGCAACGGGGGTAGCGGCAGCTGAGGTCAACACAGCCGCGTGGACGCAGAGACGAAGGTGACAGCGGCAGAGGTAGCCGAGCTGGATTTGTCCGCCTGCACAGTGTCGTAGCTGGCAGAGCCATCCATACAGCCGGGCGTGGGATCACGTACATCAACACGTTCGAGCAGTCGATGTTCAAGAAAATGCCGGGCGTCGTGATCGTGTACGCGTTCGAGAACGCGTCACCCGCGGGAAGAGTTGTATCATCGCTGGTGGCAACACTGGTCTGCGAGCACAACAAGTAGAGCCAAATACCGCAGCGGCCAGGCTGAGCCAGCGGATGTGAGGACATTCACAGCGTGAAAAACTCTGCGCGAGAGAGCGAGTCAGTGACGGGAGAACAAGGCAAGGGCACAACTCACAACGGGGTGTAAGCTGCAGTGCAATCATGGGAATGCTTCCTGATGCTGTGGCTCGGAGGAGATGCATAGATCGCGCCCGACCCTGCCACGACATGCCCGCGCTCCTGTAGGCCCCGCCGGTCAAGTTGTTTGGAAGCTTATGCTGCGGGGAATATAGGGTGCAAAGGTTAGACCCCGCTGGTCCACAGGACAGACGAGGACGTAACTGAATTGCGAGATGCAGAGCCCCGGGGGGAGGGGCGTTCCGGACCTTTCTACGCCGCTGATCGTCCTCTATATCGACCGGGCATCTCGTTCACTATACCGATGACTCGGCAACGTCAAAGATCACACCGATGGACCAGGATTCCGCGGAAATTGAACCCCGCTTGAGTCCAGTGACGCTGCAGTACGAATCGAGCAATACTGGACGAGGAAGCGTAGAACTAAAGGGGAAGGACTGCAAAGATCAATGCATTTCGTTTACAGCAAGGGTCATGAAGACTATCGGCACTGCGGTCGCAGCTGATCATGAGATCCACTCCATATTCCATAGCGAGCGAAGAACTGGGCAGGAAGCGAGGTCGAATGTGCAGCGTGGGTATGAATGGCGCAGTCGAACCTCAATACCGAATGACTGGCAAAGCGAGTGGTAAGACCCAGCCAACAGGCAAGGCCGGGCAAGGCTTGGGCAAGGCAACCACACAAGAGCATACTGACGTCATTGTTTGTACATATGTACTGTACATGGTGGGAAAGTGCATTAAGACCCTGCAAGAGACCTTGCAAGCAAGGTAACTGGCGCTAGGTAGAACTATTCCTGTATGCTATGAAAAACACAGGGCCTTGGTCAAAGGCAGTGGCAATGTGCTAGAGGGCATGTGGAGTTACTGAGTACTGAGTACTGAGCTTCACTAAGCTGCTGCCTAAAATCGAACTGA